CTCATAGCGACCCCTCCTTGGGTTTCCGAGGCAGTATCACTACGGAAGTAGGATTGCCCAACCTTCCTTCAGAGGAGTGGCTGGTGGGTTTGAACTGCCTGCCTTCTGGTTAGCAGTCAAGTGCCTTAGCCACTATGCTACAATAGTTCAGCCTGTCCACCCATCTATCCACCAGTAGATCAGTGTTTGTGCCTTCACTGACAGTGCAGTACTGTATGTGCAAAAGGGTTCATCTTTGTTGTCTGTACCTCCCATGCACCTCTCTCTGTCTTCCTCTTCCTCAGTGCCACTATGTTGATCACTCACATTTGGTACATTGCCCTTGTCTTCACTATAGTCCATCTTCTTGGATCACTTGTTCAGCATGCAAATTGAATAAGTGTGGTGAAAGGATACAACCCTGAGGCACATCTTGATTTTAAACTACCCAATATCCCCTTGTTCTGTTTGAACAACTGCCTCTTGGTCTGTATACAGTTTCCTCATGAGCACAATTAAATGTTCTGCAATTCTCATTCTTTATAGTGTTGTCCACAATTGGTTATCCACACAGTCAAATGCCTTTGCAGAGTTAATAAACACAGGTAAACATCGTTCTTGTATTCCCTGCTTTCAGCAAGGATCCATCTGACAACAGCAATGGCATCCCTTGTTCCATGTCCTCTTCTGAATCTGGCTTAAATTTTTGACAGTTCCCTGTTGATGTAGTTCTGCAATGCTTTTTTAATTATTTTCCACAAATTTTACTTGCATGTGATACTAAGGATATTGTCTGGTAATTTCCACATTCTGTTGCATCGTCTTTCTTTGGAATAAACACAAATATGGATCTCTTCCAGTTAGTTTTCCAGGTAGCTGTCTTCCGAATTTCTTGGCATAGAAGAGTGAACATTTCCAGCATTGCATCCATTTGCTGAAACATCTCAATGGGTATTCATCAGTTCCTACACCCTTATTGTTTATCAGTGCCTTCCCTGAAGCTTGGTCTTCTTCCTTAAGTAACATTGTTTCTTGATCATATAATTCACTGCCTTCGAGTCAATTCACCTCATAGCGACCTCTCCTTAGGTTTCCGAGGCAGTATCACTACGGAAGTAGATGGCCCCATCTTCCTTCCGAGGAGTGGCTGGTCGGTTTGAACCGCCAGCCTTCTGGTTAGCAGTCAGATGCCTTAGGCACTACACCAGCAGAGCTCCCTCTTGATCATATGCTACCCTCCTAAAATAGTTGAACATCAAGGACCTTAAAAGGTAATTTTTGACAACTAATTCTTTTTTTTTTTTAGGATTTGGGTGAAGATTTACAGAGTAAATTCACTTTTCATACAGCAGTTCACATATACTTTGTCTCATGT